GGGGGGGGTCCTGTGTTTGGCGGTACTTTGGGCCTCAGTTTCACGCGAAGTAGTGGAAGAAATGCACCCCAAACTTCAGTTTTCCCAGCGCCGCCCGAACTTGTGGGACCTGGCGGGTTTCGATGTTACCAAACTGGAGCTTGATGTGACTCGGTTTGTGCCCCACGTCAGCCCCCTACCACTGTGAGCCCCTTTCTGACAGGCCCGGATCCGCTCCACAAAGGCGCTCCAGAGCAACCGATTATGATGAAATAGCTGCTGTAACTAAAGTATGATTGTAGTCCAAGGTTTCCCTGATGGCACGTGGGCGAGAAATCAAGACCCGGAAATATATTTTAAAGAAGGCTTAAATGGTCTTTATTCAGGTTAGGATCGATTCCCTTCGTTGGCATCGCCCCAAGTGAGAAATTTGGGATGTTTTCAAATTCAGGGTAAACTTTTTGTTGAAGTATACCATCACCTCTCCCCGCCCCTCCCCTACCCACTCCTGCCATGGAGTCACTTAAAACAACTCTTAGGTAAAGTTTCCAAGACCACTACTGTACATCTTCACAGAAGCAGACAGCCTCATTTACCGGAGGTCAGCAAAGGACAAGGTATAATCTAGTTTCAAGCAGATACAGACTACCGCTTCAAATTATTTCTAAATTTATGCAGGAACTAAAACCAAACTCACTGCAGTTGAGTCGTTTCCGACTCATAGCAACCCTATAAGACAGGGTAGAACTGCCCGTTGGGTTCCCAAGACTTTAACTCTTGATGGGAGTAGAAAGCCTCATCTCTCTCCCAAGGAACAGCTGGTGGTTTCAAACTGCTGACTTTGAGTTTAGTAGCCCAACCTGGAACTGCTGTGTCACCAGGGTTCCCCCCCTATGCACCCCATCCCCCAAGAAAGCAGTAGATCATTTTATTATTTCATGGGGTTAAATAAATGGTGAAGTGTAATCTTCGACATACAGTAAAACCTGAGGATACTGGAACCAGTGTGAAGCAGAGAGAAAAAAAATGATAGGTGGTTAAAAAAAATAAAGTGGTGAGAATGCACCTTGTCAAAGGAAGAAAACTGGAGACCCAGAAAAACAAAACAATCCCCATCAAGTTCCAGCACTTAAAGTTTCATTCACTTTCTCAGCAAGAAGCACCTCTCCTCCAAAAGCAGACCCTGTTTCATAAAACAAGAGAGAATTCCCCAACATCTGTTTCATGTCTCAGACTAGGTGGGATGCCCCCAGGCCTTTGATGAGGCTTCCAAGGAAGGAGAGACTAGAGGTCCAGTTAGTGGCTTTATGAGGTCGTTAGATGCACATGGTGTGTTAGGCTGGGTTGACTAGAGAAACAAATCCAGTGACCCTCATATATGTGTGTGAGAGAGCTTTCTATCAAGAAGTAGTTATAGATCAAGAAAACATCCCAGCCCAGTCCAGATCAAGTCCATAAGTCCAATACTAGACCATAAGTCCAATACTAGACCATAAGTCTGATCCTAGTCCATAAACCCCTCTTCAGACTCATGTAGCCACAAGTAATGGTGCAAAATGCAGGAAGATGCCAGTGGGTGAAAAGTCTTGTGGATCCAATGGCAGTGTAAGCATCATAGGGCTGGCACAGGTTTCCAAGTGGCTTGCGGGCAGGAAGGTGAAGCAGAGAGAGAGAGTGGCCCTCCTCCAAAGAGCCATTCCTCTTGGCCCCCACAAATGAGGTGATCAGGCTGTGACTTGATTGACAAGCTAAGCTCCACCCATATCTTCTTATGGGTGCCGTGTTGGCACAAAAAAGCTAACTGTCACGCCTGGATCTTGGAATTGAAACATACGTGGAGCTGACTTCTGACCTTACTGTGCACTGGCACTGGAAGCATTACTTAGCCGGCACCAGCTTGCTCGTTGTGTGAAATGAAGAGGCTCTAGGGAGAGCTTGTGACAGCACATGCCTGGCATTTCATTCACCCTCCTTTCGTGTGGCCAGTTGTTTTTGTTTTATTTCTCACAAAGATAGGTTTAACTTGGTGAGTATAGACTTTTTGTTGTTGTTGTTTGGACAAACTGACAGGAAATAAGACACTCTTTAAAGGAGTTTAAAAGCCTTTCATTTTCTAAACGCCGATCCACCAATGTTTCCGTGTACAGTTGAGTGGCACTGATGACACCCAGTGAGCTGTGCACCCTTTCTCACCCTCCCTGGTGAGTCCTCCCTCCCTTATTAGCATAAACTCCCCACCCCTTCCTAGTCTTTTGAGTTTCGCTTCTCAGTTCGATCCAGAATCATTCTTAAAAGAGGATAATGCTCAAGGGGCGGCACCCTTTTACTAGCTAAGCTAACTGTTGCTGGGTTTTACAGTGACTTTGCGGGTTATTTTTGTTGCCAGTGTAAAGCTTACCTCAGGGCTTCAGCCACCCTGCATGGTTCCAGAAAGTCTAGAATCCGTCAGGATTTGACATTCTAGTCTACAATTCCCACCCTCTGATTGGGTTTCTCTGATGGAATCTTTGAATAAAATGTTCAGTGATGATAGGCAGCACCCATCAGTTCCTTAGGTGTCAAGGCAAAGGAGACCGTAGCGCCTGGAGGCAGTTAGCCACACATTCCAGGTTCTGTCCTATGTCCGACTCTCCTCTGTTGTTCCGATACAGACAGACCAGTTGTGCTTGGACGGATACAGACAGACCAGTTGTTGTGCCTGGACGGCCTCTGGCCAACTCTGACGACCCTAAGTAGTATGCAGTGAACTTGGAGATGGAAGCAAACTCGCTGCCATTGAATTGGTTCTGAGTTAAGCAACTCTCTAAGACAGAGTAGGACTGCCCCTTAGGAGTTCTTCCTCAGAGTGAAGTATGGTTTCAAACTGCTGACCTTCAGGTTAGTGGCCCAAATCATAACCCACTACACCACCAGTGTGGTCTTGGAAGTAGAAACACTAAGTATGTTAGGCCATTTTAGCTAGTATATCCATGCAACCAGGACCCTAAACCCACAAGCCAAGAAAATAAATCCCTTGAGGTATTGGGTTGTACATAAGCCATCTCAGTATCTTTTTAAAAATTTATTGTTGTTACTGGAAATATGTACAACTTTTGCCGATTCATGTGTACAACCTCCACCAATTATAGTAACAGCTGTACAACCCTGTACTTGACCTCTGCAATTTGTCCACCTCTGCTAACCCTTTTCCCCGTTCCTTCCAACCTCTGGAAACTACTGTTAAACACTGACCTCTGTATGTACCTTTTCTTGTCTCTTTATATATGTGATATCATAAAACAGTTGTCCTTTTGTGACTGGCTTATTTTGCTCAGTATAATATCTTCAAGTTCCATCATGATCAATGGAGAAAATATTGAGGTTGTCAAGGATTTTATCTTACATGGATCCATAGTTAATGCCCATGGAAGCCAAAGCAAATCTGATGCACAGACTTCTTTTAAGTGGTCAAGATGTCACTTCCTGGACTAAGGTGCTCCTGATCCAAGCCATGGACTTTTCAGTTGCCTCATGTGCATGACAAAGTTGGACATTGAATAAGGAAGACAAAGAAGAATCTATGCATTTGAATTGTGGTGCTGGTGGAGAATAGTCTAAGTACCGTGGAGTACCAAAAGAACCAACAATGCCTCTGTAAGTATGGAGAGGCTTTGAACATGTTGTCGGGAGAGACTAGCTGCTGGGAAAGGGCGTCCTGGTTGGTAACGTGGAGAGGCAGACCCTCAGTGAGATGGATTGATACAGTGGCTCAAACAGAACGATTGTGAGGTTGGCGAAAGACTGGGCAGTACTTTGTTCTGTTGTGCATTCTCACTATGAGTTAGAGCCAACTTGTCAGCATCTAACAAGAAAGATAATTTCTAGTACTTGGCACTTTCAGGTAAGCATTGGTATGTCAACCGTAAGGTGGGTAGTTCAAAGTCATCAGCTGCTCCTCTGAAGACAGATGAGGCTGTCTGCACCTGTACAGACTCACAGTTCTGAAAGCCTACACAGGATTACTGAGTTGGAATTGACTCAATGGCACTGGGGTTTGGGGGTTTTTTTGGTTTGTTTCTTTGTCTTGTATTCTAGATTAGAAGCTACTTTGTTAGTTGAGAAATATTTTAAAAAATAGGACTGTAACATGTAAAATTTAATTTGCTCACTACAACTTTTGGCAAGATCAGTTTTAAGTAAAATATATCAAATAGGAATTAAAGACTAAAAAACACACAGACCAATGGGGTAGAATCGAGCGTTCCAAGGTAAATCAACGAGCCATTGATTCTCGACAAGGCTGCCCGGTCTACTGGCTGGAGAAAGAAGAAACGGTGTTGGGAGAATTAGATGTGCATATGCAGAAAAATGAGGTTCCGCGCCTCACATCAAGCAAAAACTGATTCAAAATGGATAGAGGACCTGAATGTGCAAACTAAAGCCACCACATTGTTAGTTAGAAGGAAATGCTACCAGGCCTGGTGGTTAACAACGGACGATGTAATGTCAGAACAGAAGCACGAGCAGCGCAAGAAACATAAATTAATGGGACCTCATAAAAGCAGTAACTGCTGCCCAGAAAGCAGAGAGATGTGCAGCAGGGGTGTCTGTGGGAAT